CCGAGCTGAGCGTGTGACTGTGGTGCTTGTCAAGGCTTCCTGTTCTGTTTGTTTTTCCTTCTGACTACACTCAATTGCCAAGAAATGAATAAAACAACACGAGCGATAGGCATGGAAGTGGTGGCTTTAAGGCTGAAAGGACACCACGGGAAAGCAGACAGTCCTGTCATGACTCAAATACCAAAGCCTTTTTCCTGGGACTCTTCCTACATTTGGTGCTAAGCAGCTCATGAAATTATACTGTAAGAGGGTTTTTTTTCAATCTCTTTCAAAAGGTTATTCCAGTTATTTCACTATCAGTGGCAGCATCCTCCTCATAATCATCCACACAATACCATAATCACACCCTGTGCTTTACAAAGGGAAAGCAGAAGAGCAGAAGTCTAGCCCAGCTCAAGGAGGCCGAGCTATTACTGATACTAAAGAGCTCACACTTCATCAAAAGCTAAATTTAGCTCCCATTTCCTGGCCTGAAAAGCTTGTGGCCTATGAGCCAGCTTCAGCAACACCTTCTTTCACACCTGCTATCCCAGCTGTAGGAAAGAAAGAAAATCTGTGAGAGCTGATTGCTGCTCACAAAAAAGGACCCAGGGACCACATCGTTTGGCAGGAGGAAAGAAAACACAAGCCCCCAGCGTGTCTAAAAAACTGACAGTCCATGATCCTCAGAAACCTGACTGTCCAGAACTCCCACAGGGGACAATGAGAATCCCCAAATGCTGGGTGGTAAAACATGCCCGTGCTCAGACAGTTGTACTCATACAACAAACACTGAGTGGGAAGCATATCATATATGGAGATGACTTTTCAACGTGAACCCAGCCTGGATTAAGCTGTTTGCTGCCTGAGAACCAAGTCTTCCTGTGAAACTCAGGTAGACAAATCCTGTTATCAGGATCCCATTTCCTAAGAGGAGCTGCATCACCTCCGGCCCTGCTTGTCAGGTGTCATGTGTTAAAATAGGTTGGGATGGGTCAGTATTGCTATGGGAGTGCATCAGGATGATGTAAGGAAAGGTGATGGCACTCTTCCCTCTCTGACTCATTACCATGCAGTAATGAGCCACAAATAGACCCTGGTGACAGCAGAGAGGGGACGAGAACTTGAACACGGACTAGGACTCTCGTGGGGCATTTCTCACACAATCATAGAATTGTTTAGGTTAGAAAAGATCTCTAAGATCAAGTCCAACCACTAGCCCAGCACTGCCAAGCCCAACTCTAAACCACGTTCCCAAGTGCCACATCTACAGGTCTTTTAAATACCTCGATCACTTCCCTGGGTAGTCTGTGCCTTGACAACACTTTCAGTGAAGAAATTTTTCCTAATAGCCAATATAAACCTCCACAGCCTTTCCCTCATCCACTAAGCAGGTCACCTTGTCACAGAAGGAGATCAGGTTAGTCAAGTAGGACCAGCCTGTCATAAACCCACACTGCCTGCAGTGAAGCAGAAGTTGAATCTTAAGCTTTTCTTAAAATGAGAAATTGGGAAAACGTGTGATTCAGAAGCACTAAAATGCTTCATGTTATGTCAAATCATGTCAATAATATCCCATGCTATTAAAGAATTTGCAATGCAGCATGGGCAAAAATACAGATCAGAATATAAAATTTATATAAATCAGACATACGAAATAATTTGGGGGTCCACGAAACAGTTCATTTAAACATTATACACACACACACACACACCTGATTTACATTAAATCTTTGGGGGGAAAAAAATACAAATTTTACCAAAAGTGCATTTCAGAATAAACAGTAGTGGGGAACATGTTTTGGACTAGTTTGACTTGTTCCACTATCATACACTTCCTGATACTAGAGCTGGACATGACATCAGAACATGATGCTGCTCAGATTAGCAAGGCAGAATGATTTTATAAAAAACTGGAAGCCATAATTTCCCACAGAAGTATTGAAGTCTCTCGGAAATAGCTAAACTGTGCAAGGGCTGCTCTCTCAGCACCTCCATTTCCCAGCTCCTCAGTGAATGGGTCTTTTGGATACCTCTGCTCTTTGTCACGTATTCTAGAGAATTTCTACTGAACTCAACTACTTGACAGATCCAGTTTTTGCATCTTGATTTCTTGAGCAGACTAAACATAACTTTGAGAACTGTTTTGGGTTGGTGAACACGCATTACAACTGTATAAGGGAAATCTAATTTTATACTCCCTCTGATCTGACCACATTTGATGAACCGAAACAGTACCAAGGACCAAGTCATACTGAAAACATTTTTAAAGTTTGTATTTTCAATTATGTTGAAATTCCCATAGTTCTAATGTAACCTGATCCTGTCTGCTCAGCCAGTCAGCAACAAACAGAAGTCCAGCTCACTCCACTTCTTTATCAGTTCCTCTGAGGTTACAGAAAGACATCGGTCTTTTTGTAGAAAATACCAAAGTATCCATGCTAAGATGTGACTTTTTCACAAACCAAATTATTTTTGTGTTTGGCTTGTTGGTTGTATTTTGGTTTTGTTTTTCTACAAAATCAAATGGCAGGCTGCTGCAGATGACAGTCTGTCCACCCTAACAATTTCCTTTCAACTCAGCAGGGAGCTGTGGGTTCAAGCTTTATCTTGTTTCCCAATAAGCAGTCCCATAAAAGCAGCTGCCATAAACTACAGAATAAAGACTTAGAAACAGAATTTGGAAAGGCAGGTGTAACTATTCCATCTATTCAAACAGATACAGACACAAATGCTAGAACCACTAAGGAAAAAAAAAAAACAGAATTAAAATTATCACAGGAAAAAGAATCAACTTCATAAATTATTTTCTGTCTAATTAGTTCAATTAACAGATTAGGGCAAGGAAGATTTCATCAATAATGAGGACCCTAATCTAGCTGATGGGAAGCCATGGCTTGTCTCTCCCTGCCCTCCCTGATGTCATGTACAGTGGAGGTTTTTCAAACCACAGAATGAGGATGTTGGGGGACTTGCAGCAGCCTGTCTGAAATTCAGACTCCCTACAGTAACACCTAAAATCAGTAAGTCATTCTGAGCCACAGAAATTCACTGAGCAGAGGCACTTCCATATGCTCCATGTGCAATGGGACACATGCCTGACATGAGAAAAGACACACAAATCCCACCTATGCACCAAGAGAGTCCACAAAGTTTGATGTTCTCAGGTCACCCCAAACTGACTTAACTGCACCATTTTCAGATTAGAAAGAGGAAATGGCTGCAGCCCCCTTTGACAGGGCTACAACCCCCAGGATTACACCACAGGAAAGGGAGCTCCAGAAACACACTCCACGAAGGATGTGGCCATGAATGTTTCCACGTACATCTCCAGCCCTTTCAGAGTGAAAGCATATTTGCCATGTCAAAACTCATCAAAACCTTGTGATGTTTTTACGACATTCCAAAACTACCCCAAATGCCAAGCACAGGCACCTCGTGAAGGCCTAAAGTCAAGGACTGTGTTCTCTGGGATTCTGCTGAACAGCTCTGTGTAGGGCCAGGCACATCAGCCTGTCTGAAACACAGGTAGAGCAGAGCTGGGCTGAGCTGGACCTAATATTAGCCCAGCCTGGTGTTAGTCACACTGGCTTCCCAGCTCAGAGTCCATTTTGCTGTTCACATCCCTACAGAAGTCTGTGGTTTGGAAAACAGATCAGCCTGGCACCCTGCCTTGGGTTATGGAATGATACCACTTGGGTTATTTTTCTCTGGATCTGCAGGCAGAGCCATTCCAGAAGAGCTTCAACAAAACCCTCCCTGGACACAGGGGGTGTCACCTCTTTGTGGCCCTCCAGGGGCTTCAGCAAACAATCCAGCACCACCAAATAATGAAATGCTGACCCGTGCATCATGGATCAGTGCAATGTGTGCCATGATCCTCTAGGACAAATGATCCACTAGACACAGTCATCAATCATTAAGTGTATCACTCCATATATTCCCATCTTTTTATATGCTGGACTATATTTTGTGTAAAAGTGGGACAGTTAAAGTGTGTGTGTGTACACAAATCTGAATGCACAGGCTTTATTGTGATCAATCACTTGAAGTTGCTCATACTTTTTTAAGAAAAAAACCCATCTTTTTAAATTTTTTATGAGTTATCCACAGTTTAAATTGATCTTTTTTTCAAATTTTCCGCAGAAATTGCTCACCCAGTCTCTCTACAGTCCTACCTGCATGAAATACAGATACACAATAGTCATGGCTGCATAATCAACTGAAAAAGTAAAATCCCAAAGGGTAACAGATAACAAACTATCTTTGAAACAACGTTGAGAAACATGAGAGAGAACCACGTAAGAGTTAAGTTGAAGCCACTTCACTCTTTTTAAGTTATGACCTTTCAAAGTTCTTTGGGGGCCATGTAGCTGGGTTTTCAGTTGCTTTTCCTACTTACTCTTAAGTATTTCCAAAGTTCAGTGGAGTGCTTTTCTGTCATTAAAACTTGCAGTGACCTAAGAAGGCCTATAAAGCCTCATAAGTGGATGGAGAAATCTGGAATAATGTAAACAGAGTGTCTTCTGTTTGAAAACAACACTTAGAGAAGTAACATATATAGATATCCATACAAATATATTTAATCTCCACGGAAAGATTTCAGTGTATTTTAAAAATAGATATATCTGTCAGTTCCAGTGCAAGTTTTGGGTTTCCTATATGAACTGAAGGATGAAATTTATAACTTTGTCCATGCAGGAATAGGACTATATGTAAAAATACAATTGTTCCAGGCCTCCATCAGTGTGCCTTTCCACAGAGCACTATTTTGCTGCATAAAATCAGCCAGAAGATTTAATCACTGTGGCCCAAAATTTCCATTCTCACTGCTGAACAACACGAAGAGCTCCAGAGCTATCATGCTGAGCAAATTTTCTGGTGGTTAGATAATTTGACAGTACTGAGTTCTCTGCCTTTTCTGAGTCCATCTAATTAAGATTTCACGCATAGGAAACAGAAGTTAAAGGAGATTTATAGTAAGAGAGAAAGAAAAAGTTGTACTTCTGTGTTTACTGTACCTGCAGTAAGACAGTACCCCCTGGGATCGTGAGCTGTAAACAGTACTTAGGGGCATTCTCCCAGGAGAGCAGTTGAACATCTTCAATAGCACTGTAGGAAATGGAGTTTTCCATGTACCCAGTTGGCTGCAAGAAAAGAAAGGAGAAGGGGGGGGAAAAAAAGAAAAAGTTTACTTAGTCACCAGAAGTTTCACAATTTCAAAGTAAGAACAGCACTATAAAAATTTCTCTTGGTGTTGAAAATATCTGCAAAATCTAATTGGAAAGCAAAATTTGTCCTGGACCCAAAAATCAATGGAACCTAATTTCAAGTTGAATTGAGCTATGGAGGAGTCTGGCCATAAATGTGCTCTCAAAGTATGAAGCAGCATCTCAATCACACAGTACTGTACTACAGTAAGGTAGTTTTACCCCACACATTCTTCTTGTTCTCCCCGGCTGCACGTCTGATCAAGCACATAATCAAGATCTAGACTCCTACATTTGACAGTGGTTCTTGGGGCTCCAAAGATCCAGCCCTCAGGTTTTAGACTCAAGCAAAGCAGAGCAACCAACCTACTCATCTCAGCCTATATGTAAGTACTGGTTTCCTGCACAGTGTGCTGATCCCCAGTTTAAAGTGGAAGCCACAATTAAAACAGAAATAAGCAACTGAGTTTTGCAATTACACGTACAACATGAAGTGACAGTTGCAAGAAAACAAACTTAAACTCCTTATTAGTATCCCTGTAATTCTTAGGTATTATAGAAGTACAATTATCTCTGAGATGAGCTGAAATATAAGTGTATCTATGCAAGCACACGTAAAATTATGTCCTAAACATAAGTTAATACACAGATCTATAGCTGTGTATCTATTGAGTATGTGTAAATCCACTGTACTTTATGCAAGGAATTTTTAAAGTAGTTGAGTATTTAACAGGGATTCTCAAAGATATCATTTATTTTGTTATAGCATAAGCAAATTGATCAGTATTGCTATGGTTGAGAAACTATTTTCAAACAAAAAAAATTAACCCCACCTCATGAATAAACCATTGGCTTGACCATGTCTTGCAAGAGAACAGAGCTCATTACATTTATGAATTATTTTCTCACTATTACTGGTTTACATATAACTTCAGCTTCTCAAACTTACTCCCACTGCGCCCAATATATAAGATATTTTTAACTGACAGCCTTGAAATAAAGAAGACAAGGGAGAAACCACATCTATTTCAGGGTCAAACGGGGCCAGCTCCTAAAATCACAACACAGGATTCCTGGGGGCGAGTGTGAAATAAGCAAATTGCATTTGGAACGTCTCTGCTTCTAATTGGTACAACATTCTTCCATAAGTTAAGTAGGTGGTGCATCTGGGAACCGTCCTTTGAAGTTATACACTTCATACATGTTCATAAGCCCATGAACGTCATCCGCCAAAAACGCAGCGACAGCCCTGTCATCCACCTTTGCTGCTGCAAGAATTCAGTTGCCTTTTCAGCAGGAATAACCCAGCGAGGCACAGAACTCAACCTCAATATCTTTCTCAGTAACGGCTCTCGCGGCGGCGTTCGTTTCATACCGGCCCTGGGTGAAAACAATTTTCACTGTCTCTTTAACGAAAACCTTGTTATGCAGGAAGTATGATAAACTTCTGCTTATTCATTTACCCACAACATTGTTCTACACTAGTGACTGGAATCCCAGTGGCTTAATGCTGATACTGTACGTCAAGCGTTGCCTACTGGAGGGTAATTATCTCATTCTCACAGGAAGCCAAAGGCCCAAGATCCTTCAGTAATCAGCATTACAACACTCAGGGAAAAATATCAAAACAGCCAACATAAAATCTAGTATGCTCGGGGGGGCAAAGTTATCAAAAACATGCTCAGGAAGACTGGAGAAAGGAGAAATCCAGGACCAGTTGATGCAAATATAAAATGAAACGAATCAAAGCAATTTAAATTTCTCTTTTAAGAAGGTGCTCACTGCCCTTAATACCCTCCATTAACTTCAAAGAGGATTTGAAGAATTCTCACAGAATCTGTTCCCAAGAGAAGCCTCCTCTATACCTTAAACCATCCACTTAAACAGCATTAAAGACAACTGATCCAGTTCAACCACAGCTCTGTAGCCATACAAAAGTATGGCTACACCTCTTCTCACAGGACAGTCCTTTTCCTTATGGAAAATGGAGGAACACAGAGTTCTGCAGTTTGCAAAGGATGGGAAGACCACCTAAACCATAACATGGAATTACACAGATGGTTAATCTCTCCAAATGACAGCTACACCAATGAGGTGGTTTATACAGCATTATATGATCCCATTTCCATACATTCTATCCAGTCATACTACACACAGAGCTTCACTACAGTTGTTTGCTATCTTACTCAAAAAATGAGTAGCCCAGATATACTTTAATCCCTGTAAGCAACATGCATTTTTCCTGCTTCATTAAAAACACCAATGTTCTAAGAAGTGAAATATTTTCAGTTCTGAAAACACCAATCACAGGCAGCTTCACCTCTGTTTTGCAACCAAAAAAGTGTAGAGCAAAGTGATCTATCACTATATAGGGCTCCTTGAAATTGTGCTTCTAGATGCTGACAAACACTGAAGACCATGCTCCCACATCAGGGCTGAGCAGAAATGCTCTGAAGACGCACTGAAACAGAGCTGTCATCAGATCTGAGGATTCCCAGAGCTCACGAGGCTGTGGTGCTCCTCACAGAGACCACGGCACTCATGAGGTGAAGGTCAGCCCCACACAAAGGTGTCCTTTCCCTAATCCCTCCACACACACAGACACGAGGACAGAGCCGTGTTCCCCACTTGTGTTTCCTCAAGACCAAGCACAGTTCAGCCATTTATCAGGAAATGGCCTGGGGTAAAACCACAGCCTGAGTCACTGGTTCCTCTTAAAACACAGGTTATTTTGACATTCAGGTATGTAAATGTCAATCACAGTGAATCATTGTGGTTGATAAATAAGCAGTGCAAGTGTTGCACCTTCTCATGTTGCAGCTGGTCTTGTTTGCACCCACCCCCAGAAGCTGCATCCTCACCCCCAGGGTCGCCCCATGGGAAATTCAAACTAGAACAACACACAAGACCAGAAATGTGGATTCAGAGATTTGAAAATACCTAAAACAAGACAGATCCTCAGTGGGTCACCACGAAGCATCTGGCATCGATACTAGTCTTAAGCAGCATTCCCACCTCCATCCACCCACTTTGTCTCTGCCCGTACAAATATTTGTCTGGCTGTGGCGTCGGGCAGATCAGGGAACACATCCAGCTTTTGCCAGATTACTTTTTAGCTCCTTCAGCCCTGTTTCTAACATGACATAGAAAATACTATGTTAACATAACTTAGGGGCAGCACGTCATGGGGAAGGGGGAGTTGAGGACCTGAATACTTCAGTCTAATTATTGGTATGAGATAGCCTAAAGCCACAGCATCTTTGAGCAGCAATGCATCAAGTCCAGTTGAAAATGCCTTTATTTAAGAAAATAGTAACTCTTATTTTTATAGCAGTCATTTTTGAAAGGAGATTTATATTTCTTGGCAAAGTCAGAAATCTATCAAACGAAGCAAGATAATGGACTTTTCTCCTTCACTCTACAAAATTGATCCTGACTTAGGAAACTTTGGCCAGAGAATCTACAAGTGTCAGCTTACAGATTTACAGTTACAGTTTGAACTTCTGGCTGTTCGCTGTTGAACACGTTCTGAAAAACTCATAAGCCAAAATGCAATTTATTTCAACAAACAAAAACCCCAAGTCAAGGAAATACTTTTCTCTTCACATTAGCCTTTAGCCCTCTAATGAAACATTCAGCTTCTCCATTGGGAAATCAGGTATGTTTTAACCTCAGTGAGAACTTCGTCTTTTTTTCAGTTCCACAAAGATTTATTTATCACACAGCTTTGAAACAACTTTGCACCAGAATAGCCACACACCAAAACCTACTACAAATCAAATCCTAGGGGGATCCATTGCTCCCAAAACTGGAAGAACATGTAGGCTCCCGCTCAAGACTAGTTTTCTCTTCGTGTTTCTGGGAAAAGTCGGCAGCAGCAAACTACTCAATAATGCAAAAATCTGCCCACTTGTTTCCATGGGAAATTCTAAAAGGGAAAGAATAAACATGACGTCCATTGTTAATACGAGGCTTGTATGCACTTACTCATATAATAATGTACTAAATCTTCAGCTGTATATTTTCCAAAGAAAGCGTCTGGAAAAGATGAATTCTACAAACAGAGATAGTTATTTGCATTAAAACATATTTAGACTGACAGCTCCCACCAACACAACAACAACAAAGAATGATTTTCCCAATTAAATACTCCAGATGGTGGGGGGAAATGGGGCTATTCCAGACCCTTGCTCTTCCACTGTCAGGTACTTATTTCTCTCTTGGATGCTTTTAAGAATGAGCCATGCTCCTGCTGTAGCCCAGAATGCTGAGCATCTCTACTATATATAAGTTTTCTATATCCAAATAAAATTCAGACCTGCTGAATAACATGGAGGACGAGGTGATTGCTCTCAAAACTTTGATGGGGGTGGAGACTATTTCATTGGCACACTGAAGGGTAATGGACTCTGAAACTGCTGAAAACAATGGATGATTTGAAATAAATCTCTGCTAGAAGACATCCATGGCTCCAGAGAACGTCCCTGCAAATGCAGCTATTTCAGATAAGGGCAATTAACATCTTTGTTCATTAACTACATAACCTATCAGAAGCCATTTATCCAGTTCAGCAATTAGTAGTATTATGGCATAATATACAGCGCAGTACAATTTGTCTTTTTCTTGATACGGAAGAATTTACTGCCATGTTCACTTGTCATAATGACTTGAAAGAGTTTAAAGTCAACTTCAATCTCACAGAGATTAACGCGGTAAGAAAACAGAGAAAAAGAATAACAGTGGGGAAACACCCAACTCTGCCCCCAAAACTGCACAAAGGAATTCCTGAGCCTTCTTGGAACAACACTCTCACCTAGTCCATCACACTTCTCAGCCTCTCCACCTGCCCATCATCACCACTCCCTTCCCACTCCTCCCAATAAGGAGGTGGTTTCATGTGTTGGGACCATAAGAGAAGATTTCACCTGCTCTGTGTA